GTTAAGGCAAACCTCAGACAATGAGCATGAGCAATCAAAATTAATGAACATACAAATCAAAATTCATGTTGATAGCCGATCAAGTTATCAGCTCCCTAAGCGCTGATTTTTAGGCCCTAAGCGCTGATTTTTAGAGCTCCGGGGTAATATTTTATAAAGCGAGAGTAGAATGGCATGGTTTCCATAGATAAAGTGCTGAGAAGGCCTTGAAGGCGTTTCCTACATGGTCGAAGTAGCAAAAAAACCAGTTAAGTCAGCTTACCCTTCAAGGAGCTTTATGATTAGGTTTTCGTCAACTGCACCTTCGACTTTCGAGACATGAACCAACGTATCGAGCCACATTTCCTTACTCCTGAAAGTCACAGCACTGATAGTACAGAATCCCTAAATTGATTATGAGGGCAACAATCTAGAGGAGAATTATGGCCCAAACACTAAGCATCTATAGGGGAATCACCGCTCTTCTACAATGAACTGTTTCTCATAACCACTGACACAGACAGAAGGTCAAGCCTTGCTCAATTCCGACTTTGTTCCGATATTTTACGGTACATTTTACGTTCGGCTTCTCAACGCAGTTACTTCACCTTTCGAGGAAGAGCGAATTCAAGTTGCCCCCGATTCTTCTTTGCCCTATAGCAGATTGAACCTAAGCAGCTCATGATGCAGGTCACGAGACAGGACAGTCTGACTAGCTCCCAATTTCTTCCTATCCCATGGCACAAATACACAGGTGTTCCTGCGATTTTCAATGGGAGCTGTATATGGGACACGCTCATAACAAGGCAAAAGGGTGATACCTTATCAAGTATTTTGCTACATAATTGCCGACGTAGAAAGATAGCAGCAACCAACCAAAGAAACATACTTTTCAGTGTTACACAAATCTATCGCTTCGGAGAGCTTGTTGCCTTCGAGATAGTACTGTAGCAATTCTTTTTTCCTGTGAACGAAAGTATTGGTGAAGAAAGCAAAGGTTTTGCAGCAATCACTGCCTCACCTCCCAAGTTTCTGTAGAATGTGCTGCATGACAGGAGCACAATGAAAGAGGCGTGCCATATTAAGAGCACGGGAAATATTGCCATCTTCAATAAACGGGATCAGCTGCTTGCAGCACTCGTCATCCGTCTAGAGAATACAGATTAGCATGAATCGGTAATTGTTTCCATTGAATTAGGCAAAAAGGTAGATGCAGCCGCGGCGTGAACGGCACACAAGGGTAAAGATGCCATCCGCTGCCTCAAATAACATAAAGCCGACGAAGTGAATTTGAGTAAAGATAAAGTCTTGGGGGGTTAAACAATCTCGTCTGAGGGATGCGCCGTTCAGTGCTCCTATCCTCCCAGACGAGTCTGGTACCAATTAACGACCCAGAAGGGAGGGAAGACTTGGTTGGTCTAGGAGGGTATCCGGGATTTGAACCTGATACCATGCGAGAGTAAGGTGCACCACCTGCCATTGCATCATCTCCGCCGTTTAAGAAGTGGATTATGTTTCCAAATGTACAGATCAGGTTGGAAATAATCTTGTAGAAAAGAATTGATATTGACTAGAGTTTATGAAGCTTCATAATAGCAGAGATCTGCTTGTATGGTAAAACTGCCGTTACTACAGTAA